ACAGCTCAAGGCAGCTCTTAGATCTGGGAATTGAGTTGAACATTTCAGTTGAGCATTCTCTTTGCAAAAATAGTTCAAATAACAATACTCAACCCCTGAAAGAAAATTCTCAAACTCAGTAACATACCTCAAGTATTCGCTTACAGTGTTTGAGCAGAAGATTTGAGATGAGTTTGTGAGCTGATTTTAACAGCTGAGTGTTTAAACTGAGTATATGAGGTGAGTTTTTTAGCTGAGTATTTGAACTGAGTCTTTCAGTTGAGTCTTTCAGCTGAGTATTTGAGCAGATTATTCGCGCAGAGCTTCATGAGTTTTATAAAAGCCACTCCACTCAGATTGCCTTGCTAAGAGAGTAAACCTCTGATTATTTTGCTACTTCGTCTAAAACTCAATTCCGAGAGGGTGGCTACGACAATTTTACTGCTTGCTCCTCTCACAGCTTCGGATTTTCCGCTCACCGGAAAAACCCACCACACACGACTTCGGGCCGTTCGGTAAGGACACTTCGGGACAAATAGCGACACACAAACGCACACACTTGACTCGATGAAAAACACGAGCACTGCTGCTCCTAGCCTTAGCCAATCGTAAAAGTTTTGTACGTATTTAGTACAATTTCGGGATTTGGCAGGATGTAACGAACGTGTAAGAAACAGAGCGCGCGTCCCCTAACCCGTGTGCGATAATTAACAGCCAACGTGAAAATAAAAATAAAGCAAAAATTTTGTTAAAAACCACACAAAAGATATTGCAAGTTAAAAGTATAAAAAAAGTTATTGAACAGAACCCCAATCGTATCGGAATATAAAATGCAATTGAATGGAAATCTTGGCAAAGTGATTTTAGTCGTAATTCGCCAAGTTAACTAAACCAATTCGTCCTCGTCTTCGGCTTGCCTCGGTTCCCCCCGTTTGTGTTCTTGTTTGTGTGAGCGTGTTGTTACGGCAAGCCGGTAAACGGTTCGTTCGGTTCGGAATTTTTAGTTAATTTTAAATTACTTCCCATAAGTTGAGCCAGAATTTCACCTGATACATAATTAACAAGAAGTCGGCCAAATGCCGCTAGCTGGCATACAAAATGGTAAACACTTTCTGGCATCAAGTGCTCAGAGACTTTGGATGTGTGTGACCTGGAAAATCGATGACATCATTTCAGCAAATTTTTTATTTTTCGCTCTTATGAATAACGACAGTCCATTGTTTGTCCGGCTAATAAGAAACGCCAATCTACTGGCTCTTGAGATCGAGATTGAAAAGATTGCCAAACGAATGAAATCTTGTTGGGCTAGTTGGCTGCTGACGACTCCTCTCGTCCTTTTTTCGGTAATAGTGTCGTTTCCTTTATTTGCCCTTTTTATGTTTACCTTTTTTGTTGTCCGCTGGCTGTTCGGTCGTGGTTTGGTTTAGTTTGCTCGCACACAATTGAAAATTCAATTGATTTACAAAATAAAGTTGCCAGGCAAGGACGAGAGATGCTTTTTATCTATTTTCATTTGCAGTTTTACGAGCAGCTCCCATTTTTCCTTTTTTTTTTTTTTTCTTGGGACCGACTTGGATTTGTCTTAAAGCGTAACCGTTGGCAATTTTTCGCAGTTCGTTTTTCGGCCGAGGGCCTAGAGGGGTATTTGAAATTTGGTGCGAAACTAACGCAACGCGCCAAAATGACTGTTGTTGTTGATGGTTCTTTTGGGTTTCGGATGTTCCTCGGTTCCGTGTGTGTGTGGTTGTGATTGAAGCGACCTAAAATCGTTTTAGGAGCAGCTGGGATGTGATTTTCAACAGAGAAAGGCCGGCGCCAGTGGTCAGTGAGGTCTGCAGAGTGACATAGTTATGTTCTTAGAGAGTAATAAGACTTCCTTGGCATGGAATAAAAAAATATAAAAATCATTTGGTAGCATGTTAAGCAAGTGCTATCGATTTTTTCATATAGCAGTAAAAAAAACGATGACAGATTAAGATGTTATGTGAAGAAACCATATTTTTAAAGCTTAGTTTATATAATTTATATAAAATGAAACTGTTAATGATAAATAAAATTTAAACAAAGTTAAAAAAAAATAATCACAACTAAAGTAAATTAATACAATTGATGACATTTGATTCTCAATTAATGAAATTCAAAGTGAATGCCATTCCATATTCCATTTTTGTTAAATATTTTGCATATTTATTTATGATTGGCGTTATTTTTTGACCCTTTAAAGAATCTCTGCAACCAACATAATTGCTTGGAAATTTAAAAGTTGAATTTAACCTAAAAGAAAGCTACAATTTGTGAATTTATTTGGAAGTTTAATAATATGAAATGGTTTATCCTTGTCAATTACAAGTAATATGCATAACTACATAATCAGCCAGAAACTTAACGAGTCATCAAAAGTTATTTTTGGAACCATAGGCTAGTAGGGATATTCATTTTCCTAATTGAAATTATATCGATTTCGTTGTCTTTCTAATTCGAAAACATATTGTACACCTAATTGGAAATAATATGGTAAAGTGCCGGAAAAAGGATTAAGATGTAGATACCCAAAATAAAGATAGGTCTTATAACTTATAGAGAACACGGTTATTATAGCATAATGTCAACCTAAAAAAGAGGTATTTCATGCTTACCATCATAAGGGGAGTTGCTCACAGACCAAATATTCCTTAAACAATGATGGTTTTTAAGGTTCCAGGAACTTGGGTATCAGGTATTTCGCAGTAGAGCATTCTTAACTTTCTAACATGTTTTAGTAAATTGTGAAATTAATGTTATTACTGGGATTAAAAGTGCTCTCTAACATTCCCATTTCAAATGGATTTTTTATAGGCTTTCTTTTACACGAAGATTTATATGCCAGATTCTTAATTCTGATAAATATGTATATCCATAATATTATAAATTCATTGTCTTCCATCGAAGTCGCTCTTATAGACCATCGTAAAGCCAAAAATAAATGTAGCCCCCCTTGACATAAGTAGTTACTTCTACCGCCCCCCTCGACTGAACGCCTATTCAAATATTGTTTTAACAGGCGCTTTCGCCATGGCATGCTTATATATATAGCTGACAATATGGGCGGCTGATCGGCCACACCCACACAGTTGGCCGCCAGTTGCTCCGGACTGGCTCTTGCCGTTGTTGTTGTTGACGTTTACACTTTGGTGTTGAAAACTTCAGCTGGAAATCGGGTAATACTCACGATGATGGCGCTGACGATGACTGCAGCAATCCTGCATTAAGTACTGGCGCTTGTGTGAGTGCTCCTGCGACTGTGTGTGTGTGTGTGTGTGTGTCTGTGCACGAGGGTTTGCAACAAAGAAATTTTAATTTATATAGAATGAGTTGGGGGCGGAGTACCTAGAGTGGCTTCCAGGACCTCTGCCGCTGGTCCCTCTGCAGTCGTCAACATTCCAGTGTTCGTGCTGGTGCTTACAGCGAGCACACACCAAAAAAATCCAATTATTTTAAAACTTTTGACAACTGCAACAACAACAACAATAGTGCAAGGCTATGGAAACAATAAGAAAACTGACTGCGATCCAAAGGCAACAAAAACAACAATGTGGGGAGGCGATATCAGAAAAAGAGCCCGCAAAAAACAGAAATAAAACATCCAGAAAATGCTGGTGAGAAAAAGGAGGGGTTGCCAACCATTATAACTTCACTTGAAAAGTTTAATTGATTTTTACAGTGCTTATATAGCAGTACGTATAGAGCAGGAGATTGTGGATGTCGGCCTACCTGCAGCGTCGTTCTTTTATTTTTATAAAACTGCTAAGTGGGCCTATAACTTTGTGTAAACAAAGTAAATGCAAAAGGGAAAAAGCTACTGGCTGAAATCAAAAGTAGCTTTACTCATGTCCTGGTTGAGGTCTAACTAGTGTGGCGATTGGCTTTGGTTTTTACGTTTGGTTTGACTTTTCGACTGTTCGTCAGAATAGAGTAAAAAAAGTACAAAGCCCTTAAGCTTTACTCTCTTAAGAACGTGGTAATTGATATTTTAAATGCAAAAGGTTAAAGCCGTCCTAGAAAATTTACTTTAAATTATTATCTACATTTTGTTTTGAAAGAAAAAAGAATGTATGCTTTTGGTTTCTAAATACCTAAATTCCAGTTTCGTTTTTGTATTATTTGCTTCAAGAAATGAGTTTATTGTTAACTGTTTACTTAGTGAAACACACACATATTCTCTTGGCCACAAAACCACACACAAAGGTCTCTGACGCTTTAAGCCTGGCCAACTGACTTTTATCCTTTAACCATTGTTCTCTCTCTTCCCTTTTGTGTGTTGCTCTTTTCAGAAACTATCCGGAAAACTTGATTAAATCACAACAAAAATAGATAAATCAATAAAACAAAACCAAAATAAAATAATTCCATAAAACAATACAAAAAACTGCATATCTCAGATTATAATTTAGAAATAAATATAAGGGTTCTTTAAGTATTAAGTTCAGGCTAAGCCAGGTACAAGTATTTGATCAGATAAGTAACAACAGCTTCCCTCCACATGGTTCTCAATATGACGGCGACAACATCAACATTATCATCATTATTTCAACGAAAACCACTGCAATAAACTGGCCGATCGAAACCCGATATGTCGACAACAATCAATATGTGTGATCAACACTTACAACAACACCTTTTACTCAACGTGACGTGACAACAACGACTCGAAATATTTACAACAAATGCGACATGTTGCTATCATGCCAATAATGATGATGACATCGCATTTACTAACACATCTTGTAATATCCGATGATTTTCGGCTTGCGAAAATGTATTTAACTAACGATTGAAACGTTATGCAACGACCTTGAATTAATTATACTATCGATATAAAAAACAACGTAAAACCAACAATTACAAACTAAACTTTCCCTAATCACACAACACACACAACACCCCCACACCTCTGCACACAAACCAACCTTCTTCAAAAACCCTCACTTGCAACAAATATACGTTGACCTATTCCATCGACTTGCCACTCCTTGCACCTTCAGCGAAAGCTAGAGTGCGATCAGGCGAGTGAGTGAGTGAGTTCCCAGCAAAAGAGTAAGTCTGGCTGCGACGGAATCTATGTAAATAAAGGCATTGCAAGTCAATAACCAGTGCTGTTGTTGTCGATCACTCGCCAACCTTACCCCAAACTCTAGCAAACACATACCAAAATAATGGGTCTGCAGATGGCAGCATCCAGTCTTATTGCAGCAATCAGCCTCTTAGCGTTGTTCCTGCTCACCTGGACCCCCGAACTCGTCGATGCAGTCCGTGAGTACACCATAACTATAGAAAAAACAAGCATTACAGCATTAATAAATTATAGATTATAAGATAATTAAGTTTAATTTAAGATCATATTAATCATAATTGAATTATTAAGTATTAAATAACTCCATTTTTAGAGCATCTTCTGGATTTATAATTATAGAATTCTATTTCAAGCACTGCCTTTCATATCACACCCACATGAGTTGTCTTTGTCACTTAACCAAAAGGTAAAACAAATAACAATAAAAGTGCTGACATTTAAAATGTGGCTCATATTTTGCGACAAGGCCTTCTGTGAAAGTGTCTAGAGTGCCTCCTGCCTACCTACTGACTTCTGGAAGTACTACCCACGCCCTATGGAACTCACCTTTTATAGACGCTCCATTTCGCTACGAGGGGATGGATGGGCAAGGGCTGTGTGTTGTGATAAACAAGCTGTAGGGAACAGGGCCAGAAAAACAGGCAGCACTAACATTGCACATCCTGGATGTATTCTGCTGTTTTTGTTGGCTTTTTATTTGTTGTCGGGCACTGGCGCTGCTGTTGCCTGGTTAGCCTTCAGTTTGCAGTTTGTCGCACCTCTTTTTGTGTATGTGGCATTAAATTGAAATTTATGCGGCACTTTGCCGCGTGAAATGTTTGTACAACTCGTTGCGGGTTGCGGCTTTTTTTTTGTTTTTGTTCTCTTCTTTTTTTTTTTTTTTTTTTTTGTTTTTGCCGAAGCTCTTCGGGCGTTGACAGACCGACAAACTGTTGGACAGCAGCATTGCAGGGGAAAGTATCTAAAAACATATGCAAAACTGTTTGCTGTTTGCCATGTAAATGGTTTTTGGGCTCCCATCTTGCCCACTTTGGCCTCTGGTTTCCGCTTCCCGTCCGCTTGTCCGCCTATCCGCCCGTCCGCCCATTTTTCGGCCGGCTAATTTGTCGTTTCCGGAAAATTATGACACAAAAGCCCCGCTCGACAATTGTCGGTCGACTTAACTCAACTGCAGTCGACGACTCCTACTTGGCTTAGATCGACTCTGGCCAAAATTCCAAATATTTCACGCAAAGGGAACTCATTTCACTTTTGGTTTTTGCAACAAGTTTTAATTAATTTGCCGCAACTCCAGTCTCCAATGCTCCAATCTCGTGGATTCCCTTTCATTCCACTCTTTAGCGTCCAAAAAGGAACAGGAAGAAAAAAGTTGATGCTACGATAATTTGAAAAGTTTTCGTTTAGACAGAACGCGGGCACAAAAAAAATAGGAAAAAAACAAAAATGATGGGAATAGGAATAGCAAATGTCAGTCCAACCGTAGAAAATCGCTACCTAAACTAGGAGCAAACGGCTCCAATGCATACATATGCTATACTAAGCCGCAAATAAGTGCCGAGCCATAATTAACATATAGCAAAAGTTTTTCCGTCTGCTAAAGCATCAACTTTTACCGCGCCAGAGAAGTGTATGGATGAAATATGGGTAAAGTCGTCGGTTTCGTTCTACCGTTTGTTTTTGTGGGGGGAAAGTAATCCGAAATTGATAACTTTCGGCTTGATGGAGTTCGCCTAGCGAAAGGTAATTAAACGGGAGACGTGAGAGAAATCGGTTAGGTAACTTGGTGGATATATCATTTATATCCGAACTCTCTTCAACGATTTGCTTTCCCTTGGAATTTAAAATATTCATGAAAGCAGACACATTAGTTTGGTTTGTATTCCTGTTAGAAAGAAGCCATTTTGCTTGGCCATAGCAAATGGGCTTGCACTTTGTTAATGCCGCATATCACATTAGCAAACATCCTATATAGAAGAGAGCTCATGATACGCATATATCTGAGTTGCTCAACAATAATAATGTGCTGACATTTATCACATTTTTTTTTTTTTGGTTTGTCTGTGCAGGACAAGTGACCAGCTAAAGTGGCTCTAAAATTTCAGTGCCCAAATGAGTGGAGAACCTCCTTCTGCCTTTATTTTTTGTGTGCCACTTAGTGGGTTGCAGAAGGAACGACAGAAGAAAAGAAGGAATGAAATAAAGATAAATAAATGTTGGCAACAACAAAGAGCAAAGCGCCATAAATCTAAATAACAAATTTTTACGAGAAACGAAACCATAAATAAGACGTTTGTGGCGGCGGCCTAGCACAAAATAGTGTGGACTCCGAGACTCGAGGGGTATTCCCAAAAATGGTTCGGACCATTTCACATTTCCCAGAGGTTGCCTCTGTCCAAGCGGCAACAATTCATGAGAGTTCTGTTAATTTAATATTATTACTTTTCATTACAACAAGGCTGCGTGGTTGGGATGTCCTTCTTCTTTTCTTTCCTTAACGGCAGGCAGAAAGCGCGCCCGATAATGTCAACACATTAATGGGAGAAGAGACAGACGCGCTGAGATAAATTAAAATTTGTTTTTAGACCAGCAATGACAATTGAAAATTACCTTAATTTATACATATAAAAATGCTTTTTCTAGCTAATTTGGGGCTATTTAAATTAATTTGTGTGTAAATTACAATTAACAAATATTGAGAAAGGTAGCTGCTTACAGCAAGCCCAAAGAGATAGGTAATTCGTAGGCAAAACTTTCTATTCTCTAGTGAAGAATAAGTCATTTACAATTAATCGTTGTTCTTACAAGCAAAAGTTTTATTATTTAATTTATTTTTTAAATTGTTTTTGTAAAGCCACTTTCTTTGTTCTTCTCATTAAAAGCTTTTTTTTAAACGCCTCCACGAAGTACTATGGAAATCTTTACATAGACTTTTGTGTCTATTTGACCACCAATGTGGCTGGCCAGTTTAATTAGAGAAAAATGTTAATTTAATGCTTGGCTGATTTTGCACTCAGCTGGGGTGAGTTTGTGTGTTTGGTAAATTTGTCAGTTGTATATTTTTATTGTTAAAAGATTCAAGGGCTTGCTGGAGGAGTCCTGAATACTTGTATTCTAGCCATATTTGGACTGGTTTGAAAAAAAAGCCAGCGGGACGAATAACTTTAAATCTCTCTCAAACTCTTCTCACTTAAATTGAAAAACAGAGAAGAGAATAAAAATGTTTGCCGGCAAAGCGTGTGTGCTAAATGATTCATGAGTGTGGCGTGGACCGCGTGGAGATTGAAGACCGTGTGTCAGCCAGTTAGTGTGTATGAGTGTTTGCCATGGGCAGAAAGTTCCTTAACTCGTAATTTTGGTTGGGTCTACGTGCAAATAAGGCCACCGAGACCTTTTTTTCGCTCTTCCTATTTCGCTTTTCCCCCGTTTTCCTTCAGCTTTTCCCCCAGCAACAATTTGAGTGCATTTTATTGTAGTTGTTGTGCTGGCTGTGCATGAATATTGCAGCTGATGGGCCCATGAGCAACGGCAAAAGGGTCAAAACTTTTAATTAATGTTTATGGCTGTACTGCGGCACCCAGTGGCTTGCAGCCTTTTAAGTTAAATTATATACAAAAAAATAAAAAAATGTTTAAAAATTGTCATTTTTATCTTGGTTGCCTGTGCAGAATTATTGTGTTTCGCCTAACACAATTGGATTTTCATTGTTATTTTAAGACCTTAAAACATATTGAAAACTTGATCGAAAGTGTCCTAGACTCATTGCTCTTTAATATAAACACATATATTTTACATTTATAGATTTTTCGGTTAACAATCGTTCCAGTTTCAATCTTAACTCATCTCTGAGCTACGCCATACTTGGCCCAGACATGCGTGTGTTTGGCTCAAATTTGTGTTGTTCTTTTTTGGACTTTTTCTGCACGCAGGGGAATAATTACAAAATTTATGAGCACGACAAGGGGCGTGGCGTGGTCGGTCTAATAATTGTCAATACTGCGGTGGAGGAGGGCATCGCCTTTGGGTGGGGATTTGGAGCTCATAAAACTGAAGTAGTTGTAGTTATGGCTGTAACCCCGTTGTTCTTGTTGCTGTTTTTGTGTGTTTGTTGGCTGATTTGCATGTTATTCGTTTCATTTTGGGGTTTGGTTTTGGCTTGGCGTTTTTATGGAGCACACGCCAAGGGGTTAAATAGGCACGCGCTGGAAAATCCAGCATATCGTTTTATTTTTCCCCCTATTCTTTAGTTTTGTTTGTTTTAATATAATGAGCATTTTAATGTCATTATTTTTGCCTGACTTTAAGGTGGAAAAAAAAAAACAGGAAAAATAAGCATTGAGGCAAGCGTCCAATGCAAATTGTGAGCATAAAGGACCAAAACAAATTACACTAAAAAGAGAGAAAGTGGGCGAGCGTCGTCGACAATGTTGGGGGGGAAAAGTGAGCTATTTTCGTATGGCAAGGGCAGCAACAGGGCAGCAACAGCCACTAGCATGTACCGTGCCACACTTTCACCCTCTTTCTGCCAGCTTTCTTTACCTTTCTGTCGTTCAGTCAGACAAAAGCAACAGCAATGTCGCTTTTGTGTGGCATAGTTGACATTGTTGGATTTCTACAAAAGGTGTAGCCAAGTCAGGTATGCCGGGGCGTGTGTCCTGTCCTGTCCGCAGGATGGGCGGGATGGAGCAGCCTGAGAGACCACAAAGGCACTGACTACCACTCGCATTTGCCGGGTTTTACATTTGATTTGGTTTCGCCTTAGTGCGATATTTGTTTTGCGCACACACACAGGCACACACACACAAAAAGCACTGGAGAGGCAACTCTACAAAAATACACAACCGAGGCAAGGTGTCCTCCACTGTCCGTGGATCAACCTGGGTGACAGGAGCGTAGTTCGGAATGCAGTTTATGGCTTGTGTGGTATTTAGTAATCGGTGTTATATTGATCTGATTGAATTATACCTAAAGCTATATCAGTACTGAATATTTACCAAGAATATGTGTTCTGTTTGAAATCTTTTAAAACCGCAAATCAGTTGAAAAGAAGTTCTTTGAGGTTTTAGTTTTATTGAAAACTTATTGCTGTTCAGACCCCTTTTCGATTATTTTTAAATCCTTATAGATATCTGTGGCACCTCTGACAGCACCCCTTTGACTAAGCCCCTGCTCGTTGGCATGT